TACCCAGATGATGATGAATGATTTCAAAAAACTATTAATTTTACTTACCAAAATAATGATGTGTGAACCTAATCACTTATGAAGTAATTCCAATTGATACAGAACGAAATTTGGTCCACTGATTAGATTAGCTAAATCTGATTCAAAAAGATGAAAAGAGCTCAAGAAGGACCAGCAGCCAAGACTAACAATGTACGAAAACAAAAGAAGAAGATGAAGAGAACGGGAAGAAAAAAGGCAAGCAACCAAGCAAGAAGAGAGCAAGAGAGCAAGAACATAGCAGAAGAAGAATAAGAAGAGGAATACGGGGGAAAAATGTTTTATTTCCCCCCTTTTGGTACAGCTGGTGGCTTCCCTCCAATTTTGGTTACCACCAAAATTGGTTAAATTCGGTTTTAGTGATTTATCCTTTTACCCCTCATTTAATTCAATGGACCAAACTGCCAACTTATAAACTTGAGGGCAACTCCACAATCCTTAATCATTAATCACATAATTGTCACCTACACTCAATAATTAAGACTTATGTCACCGCCCCTTTATTTTGACACCTTAATGTCACCTTTAATTCAAACCCCAAGTTTTGAACAGACGGACGGAGAAAACGTCAATTAAAATGTCATCTTATTTTCAAAATTATCTTTTTTGTCAATATTTTGGTTCAAACCAGCCCCCTAATAATTTAGTTCAAAAATGTTGTTTTTGCTATTTTTGGATTTAAAATGTTCTTTTTCTAAAATTTGATAAAAATATTGTAACTCATCATTAATTTTCATATATAAGATCATAATAATCTATCATTATTTTTCATTTGAATAACGATAAATTTGTTTTCCGAATAAAACAAGAAACTTTTTTATTTCTCAATATTTTCAAATTAAAGAAGGATACACATTTGCTAGTATGATCATTGGTTTTAAAGTTCAACAATAACGCCATAAAATATAAAACCTATTACATTGCTTCAAATGAACAAAATATCATCGATGGAGTTATTATTGATAATTTTTTTATATTAACTTTAAAATCAATGAATATTTAGGAAATGTTTATCCTATTTCAACTCAAGAATAAAGATTAAAAAATAATAATATTTTCTATTTTATTAGAATTTTGTTAATTATTATCTAAAGAAAAATTAGTGATGAGGTTACTATGATCTTATATATATGTCTTATATTGATTAGGAAAATAATGTGTTTAAAAGGAAAAAGAAACAATATGTGTATTCGGGAAAGAGACATTTTTTACCCAAAAGTAACAATATTTATATTTTTGGTTCAAAGAATTAATGAGAAGGTCATTTTTAGACCAAAGTATTGACAACAATAGTTCTTATTCACAGGAAATGCTTCCTTTACTGGAGCAGGTAATGGAAATGCTGAAGTTTGAGCTTGTGTTTTCCTGTCTTCTCTGCCTTGCCCACTCCACAAGTGCATTTTTAAAATGAAACTGTTAATGTGGGTATTTTTTTTCAATTTCGTGTATTTTAAGAATATTTTTTTTTATTCTTTTCCATTGCAATACTCCCTCCATCTCATATTAGTTGATCATCTTTCTAAAAATAAGTGTCTCATCTTAGAGCTTGTTTGGCACTGCTGCTAAAAGCTGCTTATTTTTAGAAGCGTTTTTTTTAAATAACTTTTCAGAAAAGTGCTTTTCAAAAAAAGCAATTTGTGTTTGGCAAATTTATTTAAAAAGTGTTTTTGATAAGCAATTTGTGTTTGCCTAATTTTTAAAAAAAAGTGCTTTTGAGAGTTAAATTACGAAAAAGGATAAGTATCAATTTGCTTTTAATATTAAGATTATTTTTTGTCAAGAGAAACTATTTTAAACATCTAAGACAAAAACTTTAATTACATTTTTAATTTAATTAGTTAAAATTTACATATTCAAATTTTCAATCAATATTGTACATAGATAAATATTGTTGAAAAATATTGAAAAGATGAATCATTTTGTTATTTGTTACCTTTTTTTTTTAAATCCAATCTTAGCTATTATCTTCTTCTTTTTTTGTTATAATACTCTAAAGTTTTAAAAAAAATCAAACTAAAATAAAATAATACGTAAATTAAGAAAAGAGAAATTTGTTATTTGTTACTTTTATGGGAGGGTCTAAATCTTTAATTGTTACCTTTTTTTAATCTTACAAAAATATTGTTGTTACTTTTATTTCTAATTCTGTAAAATAATATGTAAAGTAATATATACAATATGATATATAAATAATAATAATATAAAACATAAATAAAATAAAAAAATAATTTTTTTGAATGAAAATTAACCAAACTTATGAGATATGTTAATCAATTAATAAGGGATATATGGATAAACTAGATAGGTATGGCCCGTGATAGCACGGGCCCAACAGTTACATTTTGAATTGAGTAGTTTTTTTTGCGTGAACATGACACCAAATTATCATTTCAAAATATCATGAATATTATTTTTTCAATTCAAAATTAGGATATAACCTCCTTAGGTTTGATCTCGAAATTTTCAACATGTAGCTCAAATTTCATGATCTTAATATCTATCTTCAGACTTGCATATCTATGTCGAAAAGAATCATATATCATATATATATATAAAAGAGAACCTTAGGCCCGCCTACATGGCGCCATCACAAATCAGACTTCCCTTGTAATTTATTTATTTCCAAAATTAGTCTTCCCCTTTAATGAAAAGTTGTGACTTTATGAAAAGTTGCGACTTTAATGAAGAGTTGCGACTTCTATGAATAGTTGCGACTTTTATGAAAAATTGCAACTTTAATGAAGAGTTGAGACTTTTATGAAAAGTTGCGACTTTAATGAAAGGTTGTGACATTTCCGAAGGGTTGCAACTTTTCCAAATAGTTGTAACCTTTCCGATAAGGCTTAATGAATATTTGTTCACACTACCATTTGTTGTCTATAAACAGAGGGATTTCTTCTCATTTTAAAACAACGAAAATTATAAACCTCTTCTTCTTCTTCACAATTACATATTTGTGTACTCTACTCATGTTGAGTGGCTCACAAACACCATTGCTTATGTTACAGATCCTGGTATGTATTTTTACAATAATTACTTTATGCTTATATTATTAAGGATAAATGATAAGATGTAATAATTTTCATTTTCCTTTACATTATTAATGTTTGTTACTACATAATCTTATATGTAAGACAAAAAAGTGTTTTAGTTTTAATGACAGATATGTTTTAAGTATTATTTTATAAATTCCGTGATATTAAATTCTCGCGCGAAGCGCGGATAATTTTACTAGTAATTATATATGTACAAATAAGGATACAGAAGAAGCCTTGAAAGGAGGGAGTAGATTCAGACAATAATTGATTCATATATAAGGTGAAAACACAACCACACTGGTCACAGGTTGAGTAGTAGAGGAAGTGGAGGGAAGTTACGATAATTGAGAAGCCAATTGAACCAATTTCATTCCCAACATAGTCTCAACTTCACAAAAACCCATTAGTATATCTTACAATCACATACTAAAAAATTGTGACAGAACACCATTACTCAGTTGCTTAAATGTTTCTTCAAAAATTGTTCAGTACTACTCCGTCAAGTTATTTGCTTCTGCAAATTACTAATAGCGGAAATATGCTTTACATAGGGACCTGTAAAAAACAATATATTAGGAACCACAATAAAAGGCAACAATAAAACAACAATAGCATACCCATTGTCGTCCTACAAAGTGGGGTCTGAGAACGATAGCACGTATGCAGTATTTACCTTACCTGACCGCAACACTGGAAGCAGAGAGGTTGTTTCTCATTGACCCTCGACTCAAGAAGAACAATCCCGAAAAAGAAGTTACAAAAGTACAAGAAACATTAGATAATAACAAAAAACAATAGATAATAATATAATAGTACTACAATACGATAATCAAAGTACATGGAACGATAGAAAATAACATAGATTAAAGGACAAGAAACTACCAAAACAATACTATAACTACTAAGATAATATTATGGTAAAAGCTACATAGATAATGCAGCTGCAACTAAAACAAAGTGTACGACATCAATATAAAAAGTAATGATACTTCAACATAAACAATACTTGTTCTGTACTTCTTTTACTCGAACTAATCAAACAATTTATCACGATTTTCACAAACAAACAGAAAAAATGTTTAAGAACTACTATCAAAGGAACTAAAACACTTCGTTTAACATACAAAATGGTAAACTAAAAATGACCTGATGCACACTTTATTATTCCAGATTGTTCGAAGTATAATACATAACTATTGCCAGCCAACATTAAGAGCACAATTTGAATTTTGAACTTGTTGCCAAGCATCTTTGTTTGATATTAGAGCTTGGAATGGCTTTCTCCCTTTTCTAGTTGAGTTTAGGCTTAGGGAAAGCTATATTGGTCGAACTCTTCAAAACTTCACCGGCTGCATGTCCACAACACGAATGCAATAATTCCGAAAAATCAAGTAACATAGAAAATGGTTATCAAACTCTCTATGATGCCTCAACCCGAGCAAGTTGGGAGGTCGGATATAAGAGTCTTAAATGAACATGTCGTTTCACTTAAGCACGTCACACTCCAAAATGACTACTAATCTTTTTACAGTGGGAAAAAAACTGCAACTTAGCTTCAAGAATACTCGGAGGCAGAGGTAGAGGCAGAGCTACAAGCTTGTCCATGAATTTAGCAGAATGAAGTAGTTCTGGACTAGAATTCAACAAGTTGTCTTTTCTAGAATCCAGAACTCATAACCTCAAAATCCTAGTGTCGCCTCTACTCGGGAGGATCATTTTGAAGTGCAGAATATTATATGAAGCATATATACTGAACTCATTTAGTGGACTTGAAGAATTTTCTTACAAATAAGTTTATCCAATAATTGAAAGAAAGTTTTTTCTGAAATAGAAACATAATTCATTTACTGTAGATTCTAGGTATTTCCTGCGAGTAACAATGCTACACAAGCTAATATAGCAATTAAGAAGAGCACAATTTCTTACAAATCTAAAATACTTCAAGTAAACCCCTTTACATGTGATATTTTTCCTCAGTACAATCAGATGTCGAGCACTCAAGCTTCCTTAGATATTAATATGGTCATTTTTTATCAACCTCTACACGTCTCTTTCATTTTTCAACTTTGAGGCAAGTTTTATCCTCTATGTTAGTATCCTCTTTTTTTTTTAATCATTTTCTTATTCAGTCGGTGAGTCGGTGATATTGTGACACACACATACAATTCTAAACCAATAGGTAGAACATAGAAATTACAAATATTAGCCTTTAGGTCAATTTCTCTCAATCAGCTTACCAAAAAAGAATAACAAAAAGGTTGTGGATTCAAGTTGTTGAGAAATTTTTAGGTTTACTCTGAATATTCATCAAGCCATTGACGATAACATGATCCTTTCATTCTCAATTTGCCATGAATAAGGCAGAGATCAAAGATCCATGTGTCAGCCTTCTACTTAAACCATCACCATATCACTTGAAATAATAATTTTGTAAATGTCTCTAATCCATGCCCTATGAGGGCCTTTGCCCGTCTTCTCTTCAAAATAAAGTACTTCACTTTATTGAAACTTCGAAAAACATCAAATTCACAAATACATGCTTCTGGCTCACAATAAGCTTCTTGTGGTTTAGACCTCACAATGAGACATTTTTACTAATATTTCACATGGAAATCATTATTCTAAATAAGCAAATCATATGGAGAGCTTGTTTGATTAACGAAAAATCAATTTAAATCTTGATAATCATAAGAGTAACTCGATAAGTTGTGTTGAAGGGAGGTAACATGTATTTCATGAAAAGATTGTGAGATACAATTTATAACACGTTTGATTACCACTCTCAATATCTTCAATTATAAAAGGGAGGAACAACATAATTCACAAAGACAATATTAACAATGAGAGCCATAAAAATCAAATAACCAGCAAGCAGTTGAGATATAAGAGATTTATTTCAACAGCCTGTTGCAAAAATGAAGAACCTTAAACAAATATTAAGAAATCTACTGCTATTTAGGATAGAAAATATCAAAAAGAGCTCAAGAGCTTACATTTTTTAAAAATGTTGCAGAGTCAATTCTTGCGCCTTCTCATTCTTTAACTTTGCCAGCTTATTTACAAGCTCTTCCCCTTTCGACTTTGAAATATCTTAGAAAACTATTTGAATCTATTTTCTATGGAGCATTAAAAAAAATTGAATCCTATAATGCAGAATTCCTCTTGACCTAAAAGAGCATACACTAACATTAGGAAGTACTATAAAAGTTTCACGTGAAAAAAGAACATGAAGAAGAATCCATATTCAAGTTGTTGGTTCAGCCTGGCTACAAATTGCTTCTTGTTTAATTCAATTTTCTGACAGCAAAATGAAAATTTGAATAAATAAGTATCTATTGTCTCTATGAAAGGACAAACATTTTCATCAAAGAAGCAACCATGTTACACTTCAAAAAGATCTGAAACAAAGCATCAAAATTGAAGAAACACTAATATTTACCCACTTGCAATTTCTCTGATGTAGTTTCCAGTCAATTTACACACTCTTCCACCTTGATCAAACTAACTCTTTAACGTAGTTTTAATAGAAATAGAATTGAAAGAAATACAAGATAGAATCATAATATCCAACTAAGAAAGTGAAAAGAATTTTGCTCCTTAGAACCCCAAAAAGAAAGCATCAATTCGGACCTTGTTTAAAAAAAATCAGAGAATTTTCATAAAAATGGGTGATTCGAGATTTGTTTGAAGGGTTTGATTCAATCAGAGTCAAAATTAATTGGGATTGGGTGTTTGATTTTGAGTAATAGTGATTTGTGTTTGAATTCGATTGGTTTCAATGGTAACAATGGAGGGTAGCCCCTCGAGGATTTGGCCATGGAGGAGTAAGGAGATCGGTGATACTTTCAGATTGTAATGAGATTTTATGGGCGTAAAGTGAGAGAGTGGAGAGATGAAGATACTTCTAGAATGTACATAACAAATCGGGAAAATGAGGTAAGAATGCCTCACAAGTCTCCAATTAAAAAAAAGGGACAAGTGGGGCCTCTTCATCTCTTCCTCAATTTAATTTAACTCTTAATTAATATATTGGACCAAATTAGTATTTTTAAAAACTTAGGAGACTTTATTTTAAATTGTGAAGCATATTAAGAATGGAAAAAACCTTTTAACTTATTCAATTTTCTTTTTAAAACTGATGTTACAGGGGAACGTTGGAATCCAAGAACGGGACTTTTTTTTTCAAAAAAAAAATTCTTCTTCATCTTCAAAATCATCAAATCTTCTTTGAGTTTGTTGTGTTTTTCTTTTCAATCAGTAACTTCTAATACAAGGTAAAATTTCCTCTCTTTTCTATTTCAAAGGATAAGATTAGGGTTTAATAAAGAAGAAAATCATCATCATCTTGCTATTATATTTTTTGTTTTTTACATTATATTTATTCCGTTTGAACTTGAAATTAACTCAAAAGAGCATTTTTGATAAGTATAAAAAATATTTTGTGTCCATTTTTCAGCTGGGTTTAGTGAATTCAATTTAGTTGTTTATAGAAATAACTATATTTTTGTTAATACAAAAATTGTCCAACAACTTCTTGTAGTTGTCCGACGATTCAGAAGTTGTCCCAACAACTACTGCAGTTGTTTGTGTTTAATTGTTGGTCAACTGATTAGTTGTTGAAGACGCTGCAGGTGAGAAAAAAGTACCGCCTTTTTTCTTCTCATATATTTTAGTGAAATTTTAGGTATTTTGAGGTAAAAAATATAGGGTAAAAGTGTAAAAGTTAAAAGTTTGGGGCTATTGAGGAAAGATTTTTTTAATTTCATTAATATTAATTATATATTTGTCACTTCTACCTAATATTTAAAACTTGGAGGACTCCTACCTAATTAACAAACTACTTTGTCACTTTTAATACACTATCCCAAAAAAATCTTTATGATGGCTAACAAATCATAATTACAATTTTGCCCTTGTATGATTGGTATAATATCTGTTTTGCCAGTGGTCGTCCTCTCCATCACATTTCTATATACTCCCTCTGTCCCAATTTGTGTAACTTACTTTCCTTTTTAGTCAGTCCAAAAAAGAATGACACATTTCTATATTAAATAACAATTTAACTATAAAATGTCTATTTTACCCTTAATGAAATGATTTACAACCACACAAATTCCTATAATTCATTGTGGACCACAAATTTTAAAAGTCTTCTTTTCTTTCTTATATTTCGTGCCGAGTCAAACTACATCACATAAAATGGGACGGAGGGATAGAATAGAAATATGTATATATGTAAGAGATATTTTAATCTTAAAAAGCAGAAATTTAGCTTCTTTCTAACAACAGAAAAATTGCTCCTGCTTCCATTTAAAAGCGGTTTTAAGGATTTGCCAAACACTTAATTTTTCAAAATAAGTGTTTTTTTTCTCAAAAAAAGCACTTCTGGCCTCCCAACAACAATGACAAACAGGCTCTTAGTTGTCCACCTCTAAATCAAGAAAGGATTAATTAAATTTATCCTTTATCACTGTTGTAATTAATTTATTTTTTGAAAGTGTTCACATTTGTTTGCAAAATTCCCAAGAAGTTTTTTAAGGGGTAAATTAGTAAAATTATCTTTTTATTTATGATTTCTTAATAAGCGTGTAAAAAGAAAAATGATCAACTAATGTAGAAAGGAAGGAGTAATACATAATTATTCATAATTAACGTCCAAACATATAAAATGGCCACAACAACCAAATAAAGTAAATCAAGAAAAGGATTAGCCCCGAATAAGCGGCCCAAACCCACTTAGACATAAAAATACAACAACAATATAAGTGCAAATATTGTTTCAAAAAGAGAAATGCTAGAAACTACTACTCTTTGCTATCTCTCATCTTCTCTGATTGTGGAGAAAACTAAAGAAGTTATGAACGAGAATTTTTTTTTGTGTTGTGAGTCACACAACATTACTTATGTGATATAGTTGATTAATTGACATGTGGACTGAAGGGTCCCACAAGATTATCTAAAGATAATTTTTTTTTAAAAAGACAATATTAAAAATCTATATTATTCCTAATTAGAATGCTTAACTAGAGGACAATATAAAAAAATTTAAAAGTACAAAACAAATCTCCATGTATATTAAAGAAAAAGAAGGCATGCCAGCATCATTTAAGTATTTTAAAAATAATGTGATTTTAAAATGACGTTTATTTTTTTAATCAAATCGTATCGATATAATATAACTATTTTAAAATAAACCAACTAAATCGTATCACTAATACTATGAGTTAAGAGTTAAAATTATGTTTTCCTCTTAATTGATTGCATGGAAAGAAGTTGAAATATGTACGCGTATTTTAAATTGTACTTAAGCATTTAAAATAATACACCCTATTTAAAAGAATGAAAACCAAATTTTTATATAGCAGGTATTAAAATTTTAATACGGTGTTGTTGTGCCTTCTTTTTCCTTAATATGAAGATTTTTTTACTTTTTTCTTTCCTTATATTGTCCTCTTCTTAGGCATCCTAATCATATCATATATATATATATATATATAAAAAAGAAAATCCTAGGCCCGCCTACGTGGAGCCATCACAAATCAAAATTTCCTTTTAATTTATTTATTTTCAAAACTAGTCTTCCCCTTTCATGAAAATTGTGACTTTTATGAAAAGTTGGGACTTTAATGAAGAGTTGCGACTTTTATGAAGAGTTGCGACTTTAATGAAGAGTTGTGACTTTAATGAAGAGTTGTGACTCTTACGAACAATTGTGACTTTTATGAAAGGTTGTGACCTTTCCAAAGTGTTGCAACTTTTCCAAACAGTTGTAACCTTTCCGATGAGGCACAATAAACATTTGTTCACACTACCCTTTTTATTTATAAATAGAGGGATTTCCTCTCATTTAAAACAATGAAAATTCTGAACTTCTTCTGCACAATTAAATATTCGTGTACTTTACTCATGTTGAGTGGCTCACTGACACCATTGCTTATGGTACAGAGCCTGGCATGTATATTTACAGTTAGGGGTGTACATAGGTCGGTTTGGTTTGGGTTTTCATTAAAAAAAATCTAAATCAATTATGACGGTTTATTAAATCTAAAAACCAAATCAAACCACGCAAAGTCGGTTTTTCTGTTTTTTACAATTATACGGTGTTTGAAAAAGAGATCCAATATATTTTCACTTACCTGTGTGATAAACTAAACTTAAGAAATGTTAAATGAATAGAAATTTTCGTAAAGACGGTAAAATTCACATGAGTACAAATTTTTTGTTTTTGAAATATCAACATTCATTATGTTAAATTAATAAGATTAAAGGATACAGTCAAATTGAATACAAAACGAAATATTTACAAAGTAAATTGTTAATATATATATATATATATATTATGTCGGTTTGGTTTGGATTCGGTTTGACTTTTTCTCTTTTAATATCAAACCAAACCAAGAGTGGTCGTTTTTTTTTTCAACCGCCAAATCAATCAAACCAAACCACAAATCGGTTTTTATTTTGGTTTGATTTGGTTCGTCGGTTCAGTTTGACTTTACGGTTTGACTTGTACACCCCTATTTACAGTCATTATTTATGCTGATGTTATTAAGGATAAATGATAAGATGTTATAATTTTCATTTTCCTTTACATTATTAATAATGTTTATTACTACGTAATCTTGTATGTAAGATAATATAGTGTTTTAGTTTTAATGACTGATAAATTTTAAGTATTATTTTAGAAATTTCGTAATATTAAATTTCCGCGTGAAGCGCGGGTAATTTTACTAGTATATATATAAAAGAGAACCCTAGGCCTGCCAACGGGGCGACGCAACAAATCAGGATTCCCTTTTAATTTATTTATTTTTTAAAACTAGCCTTCCCCTTTCATGAAAAGTTGTGACTTTTATGAAAAATTGGGACTTTTATAAAGAGTTGCGACTCTTATCATGAAATGTTGTGATGTTTATTAAAGATTACGACCTTTCCGCAGGGTTGTGACATTTCCAAAGAGTTGTGACCTTTCCGATAAGGCACAATAAGTATTTGTTCACACTGCCTTTTTGTCTATAAATAGAAGGATTTCCTCTCATTTTAACACAACGAAAATTCTGAACTTCTTTTGAACAATTAAATATTCGTGTACTTTGCTCCTGTTGAGTGACTTACTGACACCATTGTTTTTGTATCAATACGTTGGTGAATAAAATCATTTCATCCTAAGAGGATCTAATTCTTTAAACCTCAGGTATTAGAGGGGAATAATCTTTTTAAGGGGACACTATGCAATCAATGGACTCAATTTTTTCCTTTCTATTTCATTCTATTTTTACATATCTTGGTATTTTTTTTACAGTCACTAATTTATGCTTATGATATTAATTGTTATTTTTTAGTACATGTTTTAAACTATGTTGTTTATGTTTCTGCAAAGTTATTGTCTCCAGTTATATTGAACAAATACACATATAGTAGGTATATTCATTGTGCAAAAAATAAATTATTGTACTCAGTTCCAAGAATTCATGTTTTGATATTATATATAAAATTCTATAACTTAAAACTACTATATATAAGCTTACATATTGTCTACTTTTACATAGATATGAAGTTTTTCACTTATCAATTGAAGAAATTCATTATGCAAGTTCAAAAGTTATAATTGCTTTCATGTTCAAGTGTAATTTCTTTTTTTGAATCTGTTAACAAATTTTTGAATTTTCCCTGCGACATATATCACAATTGTATAATCTATGCAACTTAAATGTGTTCCTTTTCTTACGAAATGTCTTTGTATATATATATATTCTTATTTTCATCTTTATTTTCCTTTTAATGTTGATTAAAGAACCAATGATTTATTATTTCCTGAATAATTCATTCATTAGAGGTTCTTGAGTTATGTGATAATGACATATAATCAAATTCATGTTGGAATATTGCTAATATTTTTTTAAGAACCTTTTTTTTCCATTATTGTTAATGTATGAACATTAGTAAAGTATTATTTGCAAGTTCAATTGAATTATTATTTATTTCGCGCGGGCAAATTACCTAGTTAGAAATAATATAGATTTTTAATATTGTCTTTTTATAATTTATTTTTAAATAATTTTGTGGGACCTTTCAGTTCACATGTCAATTAATAAACTATATCGCATAAGTAGATGACGAGTTCTTCAAATTATCGACATATAGTGATTGATGGAGTGAATCGAGACATAGTCTTATTGAAACAAAAAATTTACGCGTGTGAAAGGTTTCAATTGAATGAAATGTCATATGCACACTGTTTGCAACAATTTTAAAAGGTGATAGAAAACAAATTGTAATTACAAATAAAATATAAAGAAACATAAAAAAAAATTGATAAACAGTGTAGGTACACCGTTCCTCCCTTGATTTTTCTCCCTCTTAAGAATATGACTTGGACTTGATCATCATAATTCGAGGGTCGTTAGTGACTTATTTCTCGAACATATGAGGCTACATCTTGATATCTTGATGAATATCCCATGAATTTATGGAATTTTCGAGATGTCTTTTCAAGGGAATATAATATCTTTTATATATGCATGAACTAGGCGTTAGGGTTGATAGCCTCCAAGAACCTTAACTAGAATTGAACATATTTTATAGAATTCAAATTGAAATTGGACACGTCTTGTAGAGTCCCACAAAATTTCAATGTCTACAAATATCCCCTGCTTCAAGTCTTGTCGGAGGGTAGACTTGATAAAACTCAAAGATGAAGCTTGAAGTACGTACTCTTCCACCTTTGAGGTTTTGTGGCTTCAAATATACATATTTGATTTGGGGGAAAAGAGATGAATGACAGATTTGATCTCACTAGGCGTGCCAATTTGTTTGCAACAAATTCAAAGGTGATAGAAAATAAATTGCAATCACAAATAAAATATGAAGAAACATGAATATTATTGATAAACATTGTGGGTACAAATCTGTTCCTCCATTGATTCTTCTCTCTTTTAGTAATGTTTTTCTCGAACTAGGATACGTTGGATTTGATTTCTTTATGAATATTCGATGAAATTGTGAAATATTTGAGATGTCTTTTCAAGGCAATATAGTACTCTTTATATCGGCATGAAATAGGGTTTAAGGTTAAGTAGCTCTAAGAATCCTAAGAGGAATCGAACATATTTTGTAGAGTCCCACAAAACTTCAATATCTTCACACATCTTTTGTTTGCATTGGAACACAAATATCTGAAAATTGATGACTATTTTTGACTTATCTAACGTTTAAAATCTAAAGATAACCTATCAAGTATCAATTGACCACACTTTTTGATAAAAGCAAATGATATATTTTATCGAATGTGCTACCAGAACTTGTGTTGCCATCAATAGATCAAAAAGCTCCAGGAAGACCCACCCTCCCCTCCCAAAAAAGGGGGAAAAAAGTAAAGAAGGAACCAAATGCAAATAAGTCAAAGTTCATGCGATAATTCTGACCATGAGGAGAACAACTGAAAAGTGTGTGGTAATTTCCCTACGGACAACTCATTTTTAGTATAATATAGTATTTCACTTTTTAAAAAAATTGAGTCCCCAAGTCATTACTCTATTGACCTCATAATCAAGATGATCCTAATTACACATTATGCTTTTTTTTTTTAATTTGTTGGTGATTTAGTTATTGCAGAATTATATTCAACCACTATGGGAAGTCAGACGTAATGTTTTCATATGTCCATGAAAATTGTCATGATAGGAGGGGCTGGGTTTTAGTTGTCATGCTAATATGATTGACTCTCATTACCTGAACAAAGTTTGGTACTTTGATGTTACAAGTAAGCATAAAATACATTTTAACAATTTTAACAAATTTTTATCATCGAAAGAAAACACAACTTTGTAGTTCCACTTAGTAATGAAAATTACATATAAAATATCTTGTGAATTAAATAGTTCTCTAGTTAATCGACTTCCTTCAACATAGGGAATAATACGTGTTCCCAGCAGATCAGGCAGCAAAAAGTATCAAGGCAGAAAAGAAATAAAAAATAGAGCTCATCCATCCAAAAGTGATTAAAGTTAACTTCAGATGCCTGCCCTACAACCTTGTGTATGAAAAAGTTAACAATAGATGAATGGACATCTCCAAGACTAACTCATGTTATACAACAGAAATGCTAAATGAATCAGGCAAAAAGAATCCACGGAAACAATAACAAAGAAACAACGGTTATCTGTTGTTGGATTACTTTCTCGATTTCTTCCTGGAAGATTTGGATGAAGCCTTTGATTGCACTGCATTCTGAGAGGCTCCTTTTGGATTAGCTGGCTGGTTTGACTTCGTATCACTACTGCTCGCTGCCTCTTTAGCCACTGCACCTTGAGAACCTCTAATTTGAGCTGCTCTCTTATCCTTTCTCTTTGGTCTGTAACTAGACCTCTCCCTCTTGGGAAGCCACCTCTCTGGATCAGGTGGAGGTCCTGGATTAGCTGGGTCAAAGCCCTTTGGATATTTTGGCTTTCTCTTCCTCTTTTTCTTCACCTTATCCTTACACTTCCCTTCGTATGTTTCAGTGGCACCAGCATTTGGACCTTTCTCGGCTTGCTTGGCACCAGAAGTTTTCTCCAAATTGTCGACGTCTATTGCTTTCAAACCAAGTAGTGGTGTTAACTGCTTCTCATAAGCTTCTGCTTTCTCAATGTCAGCATGGGCTGCAGTCTGGATTAATCCAACTAAAGCCTCAATACTTCCATGGCTTTTCACTAGCTGTTCATAAAGGCGTGCTGCCTCCTCTTTCCTTCCATGCCTGAGCTTGAAAGCAGCAGCCTCCTGCATGATGGTATTGAGCTTATTGTCTTCAGTCATGGCATTTGACCACCACTTGATTGCGGAATCAAACACATCATCGGCACCATCAGTATCTCCAGCCCGTTCCTTGAGAGAGACAATAGTGGAAACAGTTGCAGGCTTGTGTTGAATGTCAGGATTTCGCCAAGGAATCAGCTGCAATCTGTGGATGGCCAGCAGCTGCAGCAACCTGAGCCCTTGCAAGCAGGATAACCTTGGACCTGTCAGGAAACTTATCTGCATACTGTCCAAGTATTTCTTCAGCTTTAGCAGCCTTGTTCTCTCTCACATGTACAGCAGCTTGAAGAAGTACAGGCATCAAGCTACCAGGGAACATCCCAGGTAGAGCGCCAACAAGTTCTCTAGCCTGTAACAATCCAATGACAAAAATAAACATTGGAAAAAGACTCGGGGAATAAACAGTAGCAATTGGATGTCTATTAATGGGTCCCCTTGTTTCTAATGCATCAAATGTTCAAAGGAGAACCATTACAAACACATGTAATCTTACAGATAATATACCTGATCCATCTTACTAGAATGAAGTAGCAGCAGCACCCTATTGGTATATATTGCTTCCCTTTGCTTCTGTGAGAGCTTCAAGTCCAGTCCACGAGCAAGTTGGAACTTCTCTGGTCCATCACTTTTCTCTATTAGCTTATCAAGTTTCCTTAGGCCATCAGAGACATCTTTAGGACCCTTTAAAGCAATGAGATTATTTACTGCCACCGCAAGTGAAGACTCGTCGGCCAAATTTCTTTTGACAAGATCAGTATAAGATGCAACGGCCTCTTGGGTGTTCCCTAGAATCTGGAGTGAGAAAAAAACAATTTGCATCATTGCAACTTATCAAAGCAAAAGAAGACTACTCAAACTCGTGTCATAAGATAATTTACCTGTTGTACATATGCAATTTGAACAACTATAGGTGCCAATTCAATTTCAACATCATCATCAGCTAAATTCTCTTCCATTTAGTGTTTCCTGACCAATTCTGTAATTCCATTGTCCACAATAAGATATTCATCTTTCTTTTATATTTTCATTTCATTCATGCAAAAAACTGGGAGTTTCACAGAGAATTGCAAAGAAGTGGAAGATTTTACCACATTTGATTTGACACTTCTAAAAATGCATGAAGTTTAAAAAGACAAAGGAGAGAAAATATCAATCTACGATTGTTCCAAATGAATAGACCAGAATGCAGTTTGTCCCTTGTAACATCTCATAAATAGATGTTCCAGTTTACCCTATGATCTCTGGCATCAAATAACAAACAACATTCAATTGTCTACAAGATATAAAGAGGAAATCATCCTACAAAACACAACTTATAATTTACAGTTTCATATAAACATGCCCCCTATTTAATAACCCCCCGCCCCCCCAAACCAAACCAAACCATATCAAAGAGAAGACATTAAGACTTAAAACAAAAAGGCAAGTGACAATTATAACCAATCAAAGACACAGAAGCATTATTTGCATGATCCTCATCTTGGGTGCCCGAGGCCGATAGGATATCTCGATATCCTCATATCTTCCCCCCGTCTAGCTTGAGGTATTTAGTCCCTCATGGTTTACTCCTTTGGTGTCATGTGTCTTAGATATTCCCATGATTTTCTCATTTGTGCATGTTCATGAAAAAGATTAAATATTTTGGGAAAAAGAAAAATAATAAGTTAGCTGATTGACTTCTTCATGTTTATGTGCATTTGAGTATGAGTTGCATATAGACCTTATGAGATGATGTTTTGAATATGTTTTGGCTTGGAGTTGATTTTCCTCCTCGGATAAGTGCATTTACGTGATTGCATTCATGTTGGGCTGTCTCAATGGTGCAAAGAATAAAACATAATACAATTAAGCTAAACTCCCAATGCATAATGCATTGCACCACATAAAAGTGAAATTATTAATGAAATATAATTACATAAATACTCTACATTTAAGATTATTATATTGCTCCCATAAATGTTCTATTAATGCATTACGAAGTTCAAAATGAACATTTTTACCCTTAATTATTTTATGTCTAGCTAAAGATTGTTCTAATCCGAGATTTTCATGCAACAAGAACAACTACAAATAATTGAAAAAAGAAATCAACAAGCACATCCA